ATCAGCAATTTCTTCTTAATTGTGAAAAATGTTGCAACATAAATCGGATAAAAAAATGGAAATAGAAATTTTTTTTTGTGAAAAACACTCCAAAAGGGGCGTTTATTAATATTACAATCTGATCAAAAGTTGATCAATGAGTAATTTTGTTATGACCTAACTTAACTATGGTTGCAATCTTAAAAACTAAAGTTCTACTCGCTAGTATACCTTAGAGTCTGTCAAGTTAATTACACTAAACTAACGTGTAAAACTAAACCGCACAATATGCTTTGCTTTGTTATTAACACAGTCACTTTTGGCTAACTCAAAAGGTTTCACTCTCTTGAGTCTTCATATCAGGTTCGTGTTGTCAAGAAGCTGTATCGCCTCAACGTTCACATGTTGGTGGAGCCGTTTGTTCGTGACTCCTAGCGAATCTGGTGATAGTCTGGTCAACAGTGTCTATCTGAAGGTCGCTGTTTCTAATGTACCAAGGAGCATCGACAATGTTCTGGAATCTCTGGATTATTAGAATAATATTGTAGCTGTCACAACCCCAGAGCTGAATGCCATATAAGTCCAAATTGGTTTGAGAACTTGTTTATATAATAGAATTTTGTTATATGTAGATAGGCTGGAATGCCTACCAAGTAACCAGTACATTTTCTTGAATTTTATATCTAACTCTTGTCTTTTCTTTTTAACATGTACCTTCCAGCGAAGTCTTGCATTTAATGTAATATGTACCTAGATATTTTACCGAGTTAGCATAAGGGACCTGAGCATTATTTATGTTAATTGGTATTCTTTGACCATTTTTGTTAGTAAAATTAGTATTAACAGATTTGGTTTCGTTTAGTCCATCTTTTAGTTCAATTATTTATTTGATTAACTGATATTTGTAGTTTATTTGCAACCTCTTCATGATCTTTGCCTATCGCTAGGATGGCAAAATAATCTGCAAAAGTAGCTATTGTGTCTTGTTCTAGTTGGGGTATGTCACAAAAGTGTGTAACAGATACAAAGTGGGTCCCAGGACGCTTCCCTGTGGTACTTCTGCTTTAATTTCTTTCAGTTCAGAGTGCTTCATCTTGTTTTACTCTAAAGAATCTATTTGAAATTTATGAATCCAATAGTTCAGAGTATGGCTGTGGAAGTAGTACATTCAGTTTATGTTTTAAGCCATCATTCCATACTTTATCAAAATCCTGCGAAACATCGAGGAAGATGGCTGAATAGACTCCTTTATTTTCTAATGCTGTTTCAATCGCATTTGAGATTCTATGAACCTGATATATAGTTGAATGGTTTTCTCTAAATCTGGAATAAGTTTCCTTTCTTCAATGATGAGTTTCAGTTTTTTTATTAGTATTTTTTCAAATAGTTTCGATATTATTAGACCGTCAGATAGTGACCGATTTAGGCGCCCCATTTTCGCATACAAGCCTCGAAGAGGGTTGAAAAATACATCGATGTTGAGTAGAATAAAAGAAAATTTACGAGTGGCTCTTGGGGATAGAAAAATTTTCCGACCCCAAAATGCACTTATACATTCGGGTCATTTAAGAAAATATGTTTTTCGGACTAGTGACGACGTACGTTTTCATACATTCGATGGGCTTGTGTGGAAAAATCGGGCAAAATCTCGATTTTTCCTTAGAAGATTACGCCCTTATTTCAACCCTTTAGCCACTTGCAACATTAAAGCCTTTGGTTTTCCGAAGTCGTAGTTCTATTAATTAATCATATAGTGAAAACGGCTTGTGTGGGAAAATGGGCAACAAATAACCTTTCGTGTTTGTTGGGAAAAATCGATATTTCCATGTGTTATCCCCAGCAGTAAATTTCCTTTCATTCTACTTAAAATCGATGTACTTTTCAACCCTCTTCGAGGCTTGTATGCGAAAATGGGGCACCTAAACCTGTCACTATCTGACGGACTATATAGGCAACAGAGATATTGGCCTATATGACGAAACTTCGTTCGGAGGTTCTCCTGGTTTGGAGATCATAATGACTTCAGCTACTTTCCACAATCTAGGGACATACCTTAGTTTGAATGAGGCATTAAACAGGCGTGTAAGTTTAATTATGGCTTTCTTCGGAAGTTGTTTTAAGATTTCTCCTGTAATTAAATCAAAGCCAGGAGCTTTTTTAGGATTAATATTTGTTTTTATATCTGCTTCAATTTCCTTTGGAGAGGTTGGTCTGATAATTGAGCCATCTTTCTCTAGAGGAGCCCAGTTCGGTAATTCTTCTCCTTCATTTGGCTGGAAGGTATTTTATAAGTGCTCTGCGAATCTATTAACTTTTCGTATATTCTAGACCAGCTACCATCTGTACTCCTGATTGGAGCTTTTCTGCACAGTGGGCCTTTTTAATCGCTTTGTGGCTTTCCATAGAGAATAATCAATGGATTTATCGTTTGTCAACTCACTAAGGTACTCACAAATATTCATTTTTGATTTTTTTTATCTCTCTTTTTAACTTCTGGGAGGCGTTGTTAAGTTTGGTTTTATCTGATGGAGCTCTGGTCTGATGACATAGCCTCCTTAGTTTTCTTTTTGCAGAGATTAGGTCCCTTTATTTCTTTAAGATAGTTATTTCCTGTTGTTCGCTGCACAATAGGTGGCGTATTATCCCATGCTGCTTGTTGTATGTTGGACACAAGTAGTTCTACTTCTTTATCTAGCTGTGCTTTTGTTCTTAACGGTACTGAAAGATTGATTTTATTTTCAAGGTCCAGTCTGAAGCTTTTCCAGTCTGTTCTTCTGTCACTAAGAGTGAGAAGAATGGGCGAATGATCTGAATTCATGTCCCATGCCTCATCAACTTGGATGTAGTTTGCTGAAATATTTCGTACAACAAAAAAGTCCATTAGGTCGGTTATTTTGTTTCTATCTGTGGGCCAATAAGTTGGTTTGCCATTTGAATGCGACTCACATTTTAACTGTGTCATTGCTTCTTTTAGGTTTTTACCCTTAGTTGTTGTTAGTCTGGAGCCCCAATGGGTGTGTTTTGCATTAAAGTCGCCTCCAATGATAAATCTAGGTTCTTGACTATTGAGGAAATCTAGTTATTCTTTTTTAACGGTATGTCTTGGAGGACAATCTACAGACGTGACCATAACATCAGAAGTTTTAGATTTTATCATTACTGAAGTAGCCTGAAATTCTTCAGTCCTGTATCCCGCTTCTTAATGCTTTCTCTAATTATTACTGCGCTATCCCCTCTTGCTGCATTTCGGGGATGAATGGTAGGATAAACCTTTATATATCCCTTAAACTAAATAAAGGACTCATTGGTAAAGTGAGTCTCTGAAATTAAGCATATGCCTATGCTTTCTATATCTAGGATTGCTTGAAATTTTTGTTGGTGCTGCAGCAGTCCATTAGCATTCCATTATTATTTGGTGGAGAGTATTGGTAATGGATGAATCTTGATTGTTATCTATTTCTTCTTTTTTACCAGATACCGTCTGGCTGAATAATCTAGATTTGTCTATTAAATTGTTTCTATTAACAGGATGTTGGATTACTCGCTGTGGCTGTTTAGATAAGTTTGTTTTTTTTGCTGTGCTATTATTTTTGATTTTTTGCATTTCCTTGGCTACTTCACATCCCCTGTAGCTAGAAGGATGTCCTTTGCAGCAGTGAACGCATTTAGGTGGAGCATCTTTCGGTTTTGCACATTTTACAGTTAAATGTTTCCCTGTGCATCTTACGCATCGAGGCTTTTTAGCACAGTACCTTTGAGTGTGTCCGAATGCTTGACACTTTTCGCATTGAGGTACTAGCTTGGATTTTCTGAGATGTACAATTTTTACATATACTCCCATAATTTCTCTGATTCCATATATTGTTGGAATGTAAGCATGAACATATCCAATGGTTGTTTAGTTCTATATTTTAGTTTTGGAGTAGCAGAAATAATGTAATTATATTTTCTGGTTCGCAAGAATGGTGCAGTTTATATGCCATTTAATTGGTCTATTCTGTTTGTCCTCATCATACGAGTACCAAGAGTGTACTCTTGTTCTGTTAATGCTCCAGAAAGCATTCTATATTCTGGTCCTTCCGAAACGTTAATTTTAACATTATCGTTGATGGCTTGAATTTGGGAAACAGAAAATGTGAGAAAAAAAAAACGTTTTAAAAGGGCCGTAGAAAAAAAGGAGTTGAAATACGACAAAAGAAATGTATGTGGAAATCACTAATAAACCTATAGTATAAGTCATGAAACACAAAATTTTAAAATTAAAGATAATGTGCAGAATATTTTGTGGAGTTAGAAAGTGATACTGAAGAAAATGAATTAAAAAAATCTGATATGTCCAATACATGACTTATTATTACAGACTTTTTTCGATTATTTTGTACAACCTATTGTATTACCCTTTAGTGTTTTTCTGTTTATCCATTTATGAATTATCGAGTATACAGACACACACAATCATCGCGAAATTAGTTAAAACTGATTCAGGGGATCCCAAAACGTAAAGTCTGTCGAAAATTCGGAGGTCGAAAAAGAAATGACTCATATAACTTTCCTTCTTTATACAGACAGGAAAGTTAAAAGGGCTCGCAATGTCGATTTTATCTGTGAAAGTTAATTTATTTATTTTAACAAGTTTTAAAAATATTGATTTCATCTGTGAGTACATAAGTACGAATATTTTTCATTTGTTATGGCTAAACTCTGAAACACATCTGACAAATATTGGGAATCAAGTGGAGGACAAGAGGTAAATATAGCTTCCAGAATTTTAATAATTCATAAAAAAATAATCAGTAACATTAAAAACAATCTATATATTTTATATTAAAGTATAAAAACAAATAGTGCATTTTCCTTTGTTTAACCAATAATACTGATATTTAATTAAAGTTAATACAAACTCAAATTTCTACTTACGAAAAGTGACCAACAATGAAAAGGATGAAAAAATTTAGGAAAAAGTACAATGTAAATAATAAACATTTTATTAATTCAAACAAAAATATACTAATTATGCTTACATCCCTTTTAATTAAACAAGTACTTTTCTATTGAATGAATATTTTTTGTCATTATTTTCTACCAATATGTTGAAAATTTCAGAGCAAGAAATAACCTTCATATTTAATTTTACACTAAGTGCTGCAACTAGGATATCAACATACAGAAATTAATAGATTAGTTTTAAAATTTCGAAAAGGAGGATACTTTTTAAGGAAGGACTGTCCTTCCTAAAGGTGAACGATTTGTTACCTTATACTTAGAAGGCTGAGTACCTGTGCATTTACCCTATATTAGTACAAAAATAAAAGTTCTTATTAAATAAATTTTATTGTAATTATAAAGTTACTCAACAACATATATTATACAATCCAATATTTGACATATCTACAAAAACAAATACAGTCAAGACACAAAAAAGATGTTGACCAATTTACAAAGGCATGAATATTCTTTCGTCGAGCCCCCAAAAGTAAGGAGTTACCTGTACAGGAATGTGATAAAATTTGCTATTCTGGTGTATGGAAACATAAATTTATTAATATTTAATTAACCTCATAAAAATGATTTGATTTCTTTGTTTAATTCACTATTTGTCCAATCCTGGGATATATTGTCCAGATGGTTATCAAAATCTACTAGTTTATTGTACATTCCAGTATTTATACCAGATATGCAAACGTTCATTGAATCATCTGATACACTAATGTCTTCGCATTGTTTGTAACTCCCATCATTATACTGACCTACTTTTAAGGCAATTCTTCCTCTCTGAATAGTGCTATTTGTACTATTTACCTACAAATCAAAAATTGATACACCATTTTTAAATCGTCAAACAAATTACTCACAATAACTACATATGAAGGGCTGTTATTGGCAGCAATTTTATCAAATACTCGGTTATAAACTTTATCGAAACTCTGGTCTCTAGGATTCTCGGGGGCAACGTAGTAACCCGCTATAATCAGCCCCTTTTTAGACGCATATTCATCTACCTAAAAGATAACCATTAAATAACACCTACCTTCACTAATTTAGCGTATAATTAAATACCTGCATAAGGGAAATTTCTGCCATAGGTGTTAAATTAATACAAACGTGGAACAGGGGTATTGAATCAACAAATTCAATTTCCTTACAATTATTGGTATTAGTTTTAGCTAAAAGTATACCGTTTACAGTGCAATGGGGATATTTAGCTGCATGTAAAATCATTTTACAATAAGCCATTTCGGTAAATTTAATGCTCGTCATTGTAATATTATAAATAATTAAATATCAAAAATGTAAAATTCAATAATACAATAACCCAAATTGTTTTTGACACTCGTCGACACTAGACTTGCTGACAGATCAATCAGACTAGAGATGGATGGGTTGCCAGGGTTGCGATTTTTTTAGTAGCTTCTGTCACTGCTTTTTACCTTAGACTAGGCCACGGGACTAGGTATAAAGACAGGACTCGTAATGTTGCAGGAAATCGTATTCTATTAGGCATTCCAAACAAATGAATTACCAGTGGGCAGGTTTGGTGTATCTAAGGGTGGCGACATATGGTGTATTCTATCTACTTTACGTAAAATCATGAATAATGGATTACATTTAAATATTTTATGTCAAACACAATAAAAATATTATTTAAAAAACCCAGCTATACATTTCTTCATAAATTGGCAGGCTTGGCGAGTACTACTTCGAATAAAAATAGCGTCCAAGTTGAAAGACTATGTCGCTACCCCCCTTAAATATACAAGAATTTCCCACTGGCACCTATTGTTTGACAGGTCGTTGGAATGCCTAATTAGGCATTCCAAACTAAATGGCTACCAGTGGGTTTTGACGGGTTATGATATGGCAAAATTATGGCAACCCTGTAGGCCTGGTGATTTGACAAGGTCAATGAAATAGATAGTTACATAGATTGATTATCCATATTTTTCAAAATAAACATAAGCGTATGCCTTGAAGTAAAAATGTAAGCAATTATTTTTTTTAAATATCTAAAGGCTAAAAATTGGTTTTAAAACACATTTTTGCTAAACCGATTCAAATTAATAAGTATTTGCCAGGCAATATGGCCGCTCGTAAACGACCAGCTTTGAGCAATCTATATAACTATATATGTATCATTGACCCTGTTAATGACAACATGACAACAGGTTGCCATATCTAAACTGTCATTACCCACTGGTAGCCATTTGGACAGGTCGTTGGAATGCCTAATTCTGATAACAATACCCCAGTATATCTAACACATCTAACACCAATACTATTTGACCAGCGGCGTAACATGTTGGAAATAAAACAAAGAACTTATTTATGTTATTAGTACTTTATTGATCTTTTTAGGTATAAACCAAGTTCAAAGCTTAAAAATTAAAATAAATGGGGAACAATAAATAAGGCACAAGAAAAATATATATACGCGCCACAATGCCCACAATCAACAGCACGGAGCCTGGTGGGTAAACTACAAAACTACAAAAGTTTTTTATACGTCCCAACCGCAACTCAGGTGCCCGCGGTGTTGCCGTCAATTTTGTAAGTTAAATTTGTTATTTACTTCGGCTGTGTTGTTTCTGATTGTACCATAGAAAAATAGATTGTACAATCGGTTATAGACCATTTAATGTTGTACGAAATATATGGTACCAATATTTTGAACATATTTCAGAAAAATATGCATTTTAATTAATTGTTGTGTTTATTAAAAAATCAATAGGTACTTAGGTTTATTTGGTATAAGTAGCGATATTAAGCTGAGAAGCAAGAATGCCTATTCTTTGATCTGTGTCAGTTGGCCGGGAAGAGGATTTCATTCACGTTCAGCTTAAAAGTATGTTTGCATTCATCACAAACAAATTCCATATTGAATTAGTCGTTTTAACCTGTCAGATTAAAACAAGAAAACCGACAATTCCGAAGCAGAAGCGGATGATTAAAACGCACCTATTAAAAATATTGCGTCAAGATGTAGGCAACACGTAATAAGGCATCAAAATGGCGGAGTTTTCTATTTCCATTTAAAAGGCACTCAGAAAGCTGCGCAGTGCGACCATTCTCCGTATAGTAAGAGAAAATCAAAGCACAGTTTATAGCTTAAAAGAATCAGTTCGCTCACTCGGACTAATTGGATGTTCCAAAATAACATCCACTCCAGGGATACAAATTCACGATGCGCAGAAGACTGCTGTTTGAATATGTTATTATCTGGAAAACTTTAAGGGCAAACAAAATTAGCGCTGTCGTGCCTTATGTAATTTTTTTGATATAA